ACCTAACGGGGACGCCGCGAAGGCGCCGACCTGGGACGAAGAACTGTAGAATACTTACCCCTTTGGGCCTGGAGCCCCGTTGCCGCTCGGCACGCCAGGCGCGCCGCTCTCCTCCTCCATTTTGGGCTCCGTCGCCGCCACCTCAGCCGCCGCTTCGACCCCTGCCGCCATTTTCTCCGCGTCTGGGCTTTGTGTGAGGGAGCGGGCTGCGCGACACTGCGCCTGCGCGCTCACGTGACCCGGTGGGACCAGTAACGCCTGCGCGCGACTGGGACTGCTCCCTCTTCCTTCCCGAACTCCGCTCAGACCACGCCCCTTCCGTAGGGCGCGCCCCCAACGGGCGCAGGCGCAGACCGCCCGCTGTCGATTCATTCATTCCCGCGTCAAATTTGTTTCAGACACTGGATGACACACCGCCTTTTAGTACTGTAGAGAAGGCGTGTACATCTCACACCTACGCGCACACACCCGGTTCTAGTCACTCCAAGCTGTCTGTAACCAGAGCTCGGCCAGAAAGGCGGCAGAGTCTTGTCTGGGAGTTCCTGGAAGGTTCAGATAATTCTAACACAAGTCAATACCAAATAAATACCAAATAAAAATTTCACAATATAATTGAAAGTACTAGAAGAAATTTATAAACCAGGCGTGATGGCACAAACTTGTAATCCCGGATCACCATAAATTCGAGGGCAGCAAGACACTGTTTTAAAAAAAATTTTTTAGGCCGGGCGTGGTGGCTCACGCCTGTAATCTCAGCACTCGGGAGGCTGAGGCAGGAGGATCACTGTTGAGTTCGAGAGCAGCCTGGGCTACATAGTGAGTTCCAGGTCAGTCTCAACTACGTAGTGAGACCCTGCCTCAAAAAACCAAAAAAAATTTTTTTTTTAAATAAAATTTTTAAAAAATTGTTTTTTTACAAAAAAGTCTTTCATGTTTTTTTTTGTTGTTGTTTGGGGGTTTGTTTGTTTGTTTTTGAGACAGGGTTGCACTATGTAGTTGAGACTGGCCTGGAACTCACTATGTAGCCCAGGTTGGTCTTGAACTCACATCGATCCTCCTGCCTCAGCCTCCCGAGTGCTGGGATTACAGGCATGCACCACCGCGGCCGGCCCTCACGCTTCTTGATGGCATATTGTTGGCCATCTTAACATCGTTTCCAGGGGCATCACACTCTAAGTTGGCCAGAGAAGTGGGCACCAGGCAGCAAAGCCAATATTCTCAGGTCTGAGTCTGTGTTTCTGCAGACAACAGGCCCCCTATACCCCTCACAGGCTTCCTCTTGCCTTCCCAAGCTGGGTTGAGTTTAGATTCTTCTGTGGAGAAGCTAGTACCGGTCAGGGATTCACACAGAAGACAAAAGGGCCATACCTTGAGTGAGCGACCCCTCTGCCCTGAGGCTCAGCTGATCTTCTGCAAGTGGGTTAATGAGAGACTCCCCAGAACCCACCTTTCAGACAGATGACAGAAGGCCTAGAATGTAAACAGCTCAAAATGCAAAAAGCCTCCAGAAGCAGCTGCTGTTCTTTGGCCTGGCCACATTCTGTGGCCTCCGAGTCATCAAGGAGGTGGGGCTCAAGCTCCACACTGGGGCAGCACAAACCCGGGGACTCAGCTTACTAAAGGCTGTAAAATCTCAGATCTGTCCACTGGGCCTCACTCTTCTCACCTGAAAAGTGGACGTAATAACAGTTTCTTTTCCCACAGGGTGCTAAGAAGCAGGGGAGGGCAGGATTCTGGACCTCTTCAAGGTGACCCCCCAGTAAGTTTGGACAGTACGATCACTAGTTACTGCCGAGCATAAAGGACCCTGCATGCTATCTGGCCCCTTGGCCAGATGTCAAGTAAAAGGAAACTGTTCCTATGTAGCCTCTTCCCCCCCCCTTCTTTCAAGACAGAGTCTCACAATGTAGTTCAGGCTGACCCTAAGCCTCAGCAATCCTCCTGCCTCAGCCTCCCCGGTGCTGTGATTACACGTGTGCCCCACCACACTCGGCTTCCCTATTCTTAAAATCATTTATGATGTCACTCCACTATCTGCTCCTCCTGTGAAAACTCGGACTGTTTCTCCCTGTGGGATTAATAAGGGATCCCTCCACCTGGTCCCTCACTTTGAGCCATTGGGAAATGTAACCGACAAGCCCGTTTCATCCAGCAAGGGTTCCTTTTATTCACTCAGGGGTGGGTTTTTGAAACGCCGTGCAACTTTAGAAAGTCAAGGGTACCAGGGAAGCAAGCCTGCCGGATGCAGAGGAGTGCAAGAAGCTTGCTGGGACCTTCCAGCCTGAGGGCGCCCTTGACTATCTGGCCACAGCTGCTGGCCCGGGAGGTGCCAAAGACCTCCGAATGAGATCAGGGTGCGTGCTCCGTCTGAAGATCAGGACCTTGTCCATCTGTCCTTGTCACGTACACCAGTGTGCAAAAAACCTGAAATTGTGTTCACACACAGGATCGCGGAACAGGCTCCGCCAGAAGTGGCACTTGGACCCAGAAGCATTCTGGCCAAGCAGGAAGGCTCTGACAGCCGGGGATTTAGCTCAGTGGTTCCGCCGCCTGCCTCGCAAGCGCCAGGACCCGAGTTCGATCCCTGGCACAAAAACAAAAAAAGGAAGGCTCCGATGGTTTCTGTCCCTTCCAACACCGGGGTATGGCCAGCTGCCTCCCTTCACACCGGCGTCTCCTCCGCCACCTTTTTCAGAAGTCCGGCAGACAGCGGGGAATGGTGGGCATCCTCAGGGCCATCGGCGGCCCGGATCTTCAGGCGGACTTTCTGGTTTGTCCTCCTCCATTCAGAGTACAGCTGGCAATGGTAGCGGAAAGAGACCTGCGGGGCAGTCCTGCCATGGGTGGGGAGGCCCAGGAAGCCCCCCCAGCTGAAGGTGGAAGGGGGGACCCACGACACCTGACATGACCCACATCAGGGCCTGGCTTATGTTTTCAGGAGCAGAGCCAGTAACCTCTCCCCTCTCCTGCTTTTACTCCTCCCTCCCTCTCTCTTCCTTGTTTTGTGGTTTGGTCATTGAATCCCATGGCACTAAGCTACATCCTCAGCCCACTTTTTATTTTTTATTTTCAGACAGGGTCTCATTAGATCACTAAATTGTCCAGGCTGGGATCAACCTTTCAATCCTCCTGCTTCAGGATTAAATGTCAGTCAGTCACAGGAAGCAACCAGGGTATCCATCAGTGGGTGAATGGATAAATGGCACTGCATCCGGTCAAAGAATTACTCCTCAGAGCTAAAAGGAAAACAAGAAGCCAAGTGTGGGGATGCACACCTGTCATCCCAGCACTCAGGCTGAGGCAGGAGGATCGCTGCGAGTTCAAGGCCAGCCTGGGCTACATAGTGAGTTCAAGGCCAGCCTGAATTATCTAGTGAGACTATGTCTCCAAAAAATAGATAAAAAGAAATGAGAGCTGTGTATAGCTTAGAGGTACAGTACTTGCCTGGCATGCACAGGTTTTGGGTTCCATCCCTAGCACCTCAAAAAAAATAAAAAGAATATATAAAAAGAAATGAGAAGCCACAAAAAGATACTGAGAACCTTAAATGTGTATGACTAAGTGAGAGAAGCTAATCTGGAAAGGCCACATGCTGTATGGATCCGACTCCAAGTTATTCGGGAAAAGGTAAGACTAAGGAGACAGGAAAAACATCAGTGGCAGGGGCTAGGAGCAGAAGGAAGGGATTAGCAAGCAGGGTACGGCAGTTTTTGGTTTTCGGTGCTGGGGATCAAACTCAGAACCTTTTGCTTGCCAGGCAAGTGCTGTGCCACTGAGTCAAATTCCCAGCAGCAGTAGTTTTGCTGTTGTCATTGTCGTCATTGTTTTTTGTTTTACTTTGTGAAACAGGGTCTTGCCATCTAGTTCAGGCTGGCCATGAACTCACAGCAACCGTCCTGCCTCAGCCTCCTGAGTTCTCGGTAACAGGTATGCACCACCCAGATTTTTAGGGCAATAAAAATATGCATTGATACGGCTGGGGATGTAGCTCAGTGGCACTGTACCTGCCTAGCAAGTGCAAGGTCCTGCATTTGATCCCTAGTACCAGGAAAAAAAAAAAGTGAAGAATACGCACTATTATAAAAGAGGGACACGTGTCATTACATGTTTGTCAAAACCACAGAAGGAATAATCTGAGCATGAATGTGAATGTGAGCAGTGTGGACAGTGGCCTCTGGGGGCTAAGGATGTGTCTGGGAGGATCACTGATTGTCACAAATGTGCTAATCCGAACCTGGCGAGACTTATGCGTAACTCCACAAGTGCTATTTCTGAGGCTCACTTTGAGAAAAACTAAGTCGAAGTATAATCAAAGCAATTAAGGATGGAAATCACTAATAACCACGCTTATAATCCTAGCACTCGGCACTCGGGAGGCTGAGGCAGGAGGATCGCTGTGAGTTCGAGACCAGCCTGGGCTACACAGTGTGTTCCACGTCAGTCTCAACAACATAGTGAGACCCTGTCTCCAAAAACCAAATAAATAAAAAAAATAAAAAGTACTAATAAACTCAATAAGATAAAAATAAAAGAAAAAGAAAAACGAAAGAATAAATGTCAGTGGTTAACCAACTTTGACCAAGTTCCTTCTAGGGAAATAATCACGGGACCAGGCCCGAGGCTCAGGGTCAGTGCAGCGCTTGACTAGCACATACATGGTAATGGGTTCCACCCGGGCACTATAAGGAAAAAGAAAAGAAAAGAAAAGTGCACAGGAGGTGCCCAGCACCAGTTTAAAAAGAAAAAGGAAGGGGGAAAAAAATCCACATTGGAAAGAATCCAGCTGCTGTCAAAGGGATTCGTTAGACAAACGGTTCATCCCTACAGTGAGTGCTGGGTGACTGCCTTATTTTTCTTTTTTTAAAGGACAGGGACAAAGTGAAAACAAGCAGACTGCCAAACAGCGCCTCCAAAAACAAATATGTAGCCAGGTGTGGTGCGTACACCTATAATCCCAGCACTCAGGAGGTTGAGGCAGGAGGAGCGCTGTCAGTAATGTAAAATTTGAAAAGTCTGGAGATGTAGCTCAGTGCGGCAGTCCTGTGTCCTGTGTCAGTATTGGGGACATGACCCGTGAAATGCATCCTGAGACAATATCCTTGTGCAAATACCACCAAGCACCTCACAAAATCTCAGACAACCGTGAGATTGATAGACAATAAAAACTTACAAGGCTAGTGTGTTGAACATGTGATCTGTAACCTATGAAACACTGAAGGGGTGGAACCAGGGCCTTCCAATTGAGCTATACCCCCAGCCTTTCTGTATTTTTTATTTTGAGACAGGACCTTACTAAACCATTAAGTTGCCCAGGCTGGGCTGGAACTTGCAATCCTCCTGCCTCAGCCCTCCAGAGTGCTGTGATTACACAGATGCACCACTATGCCCAACTACTTCTCCTTCTTTTTTTT